TATAAGTTCTGATACATCCGTTGCTCGTTGTATTGCCAAATCTACACAGTTAACAATCTGCAACACATTCATCATTAAAATCTACTAAGCGGAGTTGCAGATTTAGGTTTGCGATTTCTGAGATCACGCGCTGCGAGTACCCCTCAAGCGTGCTGCAGGGCATGAACTTGGTTTCGAGTTTCTCGTATATCAGTCTAAAGCATGAAATATCGGGGATAAACCTAAATATCATATGCAGCGGAGACAAGTCTGTGTTTCATCTCTTAGCTGTAAAACACACAACGAACACAGCGTATGAAGAAAGACTTACCAGCTGTTCATTGAGAGGAAAATTTCCAGACTGATGAAGCGTGCATATTTCCTGCCTTTTATTAGCAGCAACAATTAGCGATCCTTTCAGGCACTGCTCCTCTTTGCGTGTCGGATCAGCTACTATTTTTGTCTGACTATAACAAGTTCACTGAGACACAACAAATTCACAAGGAAAACAAAGATCCCAGGCGCATCCCGAAAATACTGAAGCCTTGCCAAGTGCTTCTGTGGGACGAAATGTTGAGCAGTTAATCCTTTCACGGGTTAAAACGAACTCGAAATCGCCAGTAGGCTGACCACTAAACCAAGCAGCATTGGTCAAAGCAACTAGATATGTTTGCCGGCCGCATAATTTGAAAATTATACAAACTATGTAAATGTATCATGGAAGCAAAATGTACAGTTATAGACTGTCTGTAACAAAACCAGTAAGCTTCAATTTCGTTTTCTAAATCGACGTACTATCTATAAATGGCAGTTCAAGTTACTATTTATCGGTACACACACACACACATACACACACACACGCACACAAACATCACATACACACATTATGTGTGTGCACAAAAGAATGAAGTACTGTGTTTGACTTGACTGAATAGCTCACCCGTCAGCAAACATTCCGAACGATACGCAAACTGGCATATGGTATATGTTGAGAGGTATCGGTATTTTATCACTGCCACTGTGCTGAAAATTTAAAAACAATTGCTAACAGACAGCACATGCAAAAATAACACATCAGTAGTCTGATCAGTCTCGAATGTCGCTGGAATGAATGTATAGGCCAAGGAGCTATGCTAGAGCTCAGTTCATAAATCCATGGATCAGACTTTATCCACGGGTTAATTAGTACATGCATAAATAAAAAACTTACAATAACAATTGAATCAGAAAAAACGGAGACGTCCGGCCTACGAAAATGTGCAAGAGCTGTTAAGGAAGCAATACATGCGCAGTCCACTAATGAACCATCTTCATCCAGCACATGGATATCAATACGTATTTGCCAGACCTGAAAAGAAGGACGCTCCAAAATTCATCAAAACCATCTTTAAACAGCATAAACCTAGACTCGCAGAAATGTTGGTGTCCTTTGAAATGATGGAAGCACTTGCGAGCAAGAAAGCCTTGTCACGAAATCTGGCAACGCTTTCGTGATCAACGAGGCATAATCCCTAGTGGATCATGCCGACCGCGAACACTAAAAAAGCCGTTTGCCCTAATGGGATTTTTTTTTTGTTATTGTTACAACTGTGTTTGTCTAAGCCTTTCGTTGAAAAGAAAATCCTTTCAACGTGTGCTGCATTCAACATCGTCTCGAACCAGGATCTCAACCCAACATCATCACAAGCCTATAGTGCTTAGGCCTGATATTCATTCACTTTCGTGTTCCGACTGAACCGACACATCAAATTCTGAGTGGACGTATCATTAAAAACTCCTGCCTGTTTGAATGCCCTCAGGCAAAGAGATTCGAGATCGATGACACCGCAATCGC